GTTATTTCTCAAACTCATATCGCCTGGCTTCACAATCCACAATTTATAATGCCTGTAATGGGAAAATTAGACTAAGCACTCTGCCTGTATCCCTCCCTTTTTCTCAATGCATGCTGCCTTCACTGATTCTGATTCAGGGAACTAAGGTTTAATACAGCTAACAAACTTGGGTGGTAAACCAAGATAAGATTCATAACTTCCTTTTGGAAGAATTTATCATGGTAGTCACACTACTACAAAAGCCCAACACTTAGACATATACTAGATGCTGTTACTTAAAAGACAGTGACAGAAGAGCAAACCACAGACCACCTACTACAATGTGGTCTGAGCCCTGCCACATGCGCAGTGGAGGACCTTCTCACAAATTCGCTTCTGACACGATACATAAATAAATATAAAGCAAAAACAGGTATTTTGAGGAATCATGACATCTAACAAAAAACCAAGCCAAAAAATAACTATTATTTTTTGCTTTAAACAGGACAAATAAAGTATATTTAAGAATTTACAAAACTATAACTTCACTGCAGAACTTGAAGATCTGTTGCAATCAATAGATTCAAATTGCAAATACTCTAAAGATCAAGATTCAAAAGGACAGATCTATAGTAGCAGAATTGTTTTTGCTATATTCCTCATGTGTGCCACTTTCCCAGCGTTCTAAATTAATCTATTAAACTACAATGACTTTGAAGAGATTTCACAATTTATAATGCAGGAACCTATTTAGGCCTAGAATGCCTCTGTGCAAAGCAGCTGTCATCATTTTCTACCTAAGAGTTTGCAGATTCCACTATTCCTCAATTATTTACTCCCAAAAAAATCCCATGATTTATTCCTGAAATATAAACAGAAATCACCCGCACCACCAATCCCATGATGGGGTTAATGGTCCTGATAGACCAATATACAATCCGACAAATCTATCCGCCGAGGTGGTGTGATCTTCGACACAAACCTGGTGGTACCTCGGTATGAGGCAGGTGGAGCACATTTCAAAACATGTCGTCTTTCTACACAGTTTGTAAGAGTAAGCGCAAAGGAGGGCAGGTAAGGCCCGAGGGAGGGAGGGCAGGTAAGCGAGCAAGGAGGAGCACTCGCACAACAGGAACAAGGAAGGAAGGAAGGAAGGAAGGGGCTTCCCAGGCCAGGACATATTCCACTGCCAAACTGCTCTGACCGTCAGGAAGCTCTGCCCAGTGTTTAGGTGGAATCTCTTTTACTGTAGTTTTGGCACATTGGGCTAAACCCTTGTGCTGGCAGGACTGACCAAAAGGGTGGCAGTCTGAAACCGGGGAGCCGGATGAGCTCCCATCTGTCAGCTCCAGCTTCCCATGCAGGGAAATAAGAGAAGTCTCCCACTGGATGGTCGCACTGGGTTTCAGTACACATCTAAAGGAAAGGGAGAAGTCAAATGTGCAACACGGTGGTTGTGTTATTATTGGATTCTAACTGTTCTATAGTAAACTTACTTGCGTTAAATGACCCTAATAGGTCCATCGAGGAGATGTTTGATTACAAAAAAGAAGCTTTTGTATTGTCGAAGGCTTTCATGGCCAGAATCACTCAGTTCTTGTAGGTTTTTTTCGGGCTGTATGGCCATGTTCTAGAGGCAATTTTCCTGATGTTTCGCCTGCATCTATGGCAAGCATCCTCAGTACCTCTGAGGATGCTTGCCATAGATGCAGGCGAAACGTCAGGAGAAATGCCTCTAGAACATGGCCATACAGCCCGAAAAAACCCACAAGAACCTGATGTTGTTGTTGTTTATTGTTGGCATTTTCGGGTTTGTTTTGCTGTCATTTGTTGTTTGGGCTTGGCCTCATGTAAGCCGCCCCGTCCCCTTTGGGGAGATGGTAGCGGGGTATAAATAAAGATTATTATTATTGGGTTGTTGTAGGGGTTTTTTCGGGCTATATGGGCATGGTTTGTTTCCTCTCTGTTGTGGTGCTGTTGTAATTTTAGAGTTTTTTTAAATACTGGTAGCCAGATTTTTTTCATTTTCATGGTTTCCTCCTTTCTGTTGAAATTGTCCACAAGCCATTGAAATCCACAAGAAGCATGTGGACAATTTCAACAGAAAGGAGGAAACCATGAAAATGAACAAAATCTGGCTACCAGTATTAAAAAACTCTAAAATTACAACAGCACAACAACAGAGAGGAAACAAACAAGGACATCTAATCACCTCTCAACAAAAGTTTGCTCCAGGCACTGCCAGGCCATCAAATGCTAATCAAGGTGATCAGTTGAAACATTCACACCTAGCTCCAGCAGACAAGAGTCCTTTGTCCCACCCTGGTCATTCCACAGATATATAAACCCATTGTCCTAATTCCAACAGACCTCACTACCTCTGAGGATGCTTGCCATAGATGCAGGCGAAACGTCAGGAGAGAATGCTCTAGAACATGGCCATATAGCCTGAAAAAAAACCTACAACAACCCAGTGATTCCGGCCATGAAAGCCTCCGACAATTATTATTATTACTATTATTACTATTATTATCATCATTATTATAGAATAGATTTCAGCTTGGTTAAGGATATATAACACTAACATACTAAGAGATTTAGAAAATATTTTCCTCAGACAGGAAGTAGCCCAACAGGTAAAACAAACACCCTCCTACACAGCTATTTATCTGTTATCTGTTATTATTATCTATTTAAAATCCAGATTATCTGTTTTGAATTGGATTAGATGGCAGTGTAGACACCAGGGCCCCCTAGTGGCACAGTGGGTTAAACCGCTGAGTTGCTGACCAAAATGTTGGTGGTTCGAATCCGGGGAGCAGGGCAAGCTCCCGCTATTAGGCCCAGCTTCTGCAAACCTAGCAGTTTGAAAACATGCAAATGTGAGTAGATCAATAGGTACCGCTTTGGCTGGAACGGTGCTCCATGCAGTCATGCTGGAGGAGTCTACGGACAACGCCGGCTCTTCGCTTAGAAATGGAGATGAGAACCAGAGACTCAGAGTCGGACATGACTGGACTTCACGTCAGGAGGAAGCCTTTACCTTTACTATGTATATATTGTGCTGTTGCACGCTGGGCCTGTGCATCAGACTGTAGACAGGACATAAATTCCGTGTGCCCAATGTGACGCCGGGGCTGCCTCAGATTAAAGGCCTTTGGATTTCCTTAAAACAGAGTCTTTAGATTGCTTAAAGGTTCAACAAAGTTCTTTATTGATGAAAACAAACAGGTACTTTAAAGCTTTCTTAACAGTCTATTGGCTCTCTCTCAATCTTGTCCACAGGGAACAGGCACTATCTTCATAACTGTAACTAATGGGGAAATCCTTAACTTCTAATCTGGGCAGTCTGTCTTTGTCTCTGTTGGCGTGGAGCCCCTGCACCCGGTACCAACTGCTTCTGGCTTCCGCGAGTGACCCTTACCAAGCAGAGCTTTGTAGACTTCCAGGGAAAAGGAGTTCAGGTTTCGGTGATGGCTGGCTGAAGTCCTTCAGCAAAGGAGCTGTAGGGCTGTATAACCCCGGTCAAGCTGTAGGCTGTATATCTCCCTGGCCAAGCCATAGAAGTCGAAGCTTTCTACAGGAGCTCTTGGTTTTATGTCCTGCATGAAAGGCTTCTATGTGTAGGCTGAACCCAAACTGGCTCCTATTCCCTCCAAAACCCAAGAAGGGGACGGGACCAGAGAACCTAACTATAATTGTCAGGTGGCTTGCCCTATGATTGCAGCCAAAAGAAGCCACCTATCTGCAGAGCCCCTGAAATTTAGGACTACAACAAACATTCAATGCAAAGCAAACAAAACTGGAGCTCCTGGTACAGTTGTACCTGCACAATATATCTTGCAAGCCGGCCTGAGTCCCCTTCAGGTTGAGAAATATGGATTTCTCAACCTCTAAGGCTGCCTGCCATAGATGTGGGTGAAACGTCAGGAGAGAATGCTTCTGGAATGTGGCCAGACAGCCCGGAAAACTCACAGCAACATAACTATTCGGAATTGTTAGAGTTGAAGTCCAAAACACCTGGAAAGCTGAAGTTGGCCCATACTCACCTTTTGTGTCTTTCCCTCCCAAATAACGCACTTCCAGGTGTATTCGGTGCCCATGGGGGGCATGATGGTGCGCCAGCCCTTCTCCATCGGGGGCTCGGGCAGCTCCTACATCTACGGCTACGTCGACGCCTCCTACAAGCCCGGCATGACCAAGGAGGAGTGCTTGGCCTTTGCCGCCAATGGTAAGGAAGGGGTCCCATAACTCTTTGTCGGGGGGGGGGGGGGGCACCCCGGTTGAGTATGCGGGGGGCAGGCCGTTCTCTCCTCCCTCTTTGTGGGGTGGGGGCCCCTGTTGATGGTAGTATGCGGGGGGCAGGCCCTTCTCCCTTTTTGTTGGGGGGGGGGGAGCGACCCCTGTTGATGGTAGTGTGGGGGGCAGGCCCTTCTCTCCTCCCTTTTTGTGGGGGGGGGGTCCCCTGTGATGGAGTGTGGGGGGGCAGGCCCTTTTCTCCTTCTTTGTTGGGGGGGGGGGGGGGGGCCCCTGTTGATGGTAGTATGCGGGGGGCAGGCCGTTCTCTCCTCCCTCTTTGTGGGGTGGGGGCCCCTGTTGATGGTAGTATGCGGGGGGGCAGGCCGTTCTCTCCTCCCTCTTTGTGGGGTGGGGGCCCCTGTTGATGGTAGTATGCGTGGGGCAGGCCGTTCTCTCCTCCCTCTTTGTGGGGTGGGGGCCCCTGTTGATGGTAGTATGCGGGGGGGGGGCAGGCCGTTCTCTCCTCCCTCTTTGTGGGGTGGGGGCCCCTGTTGATGGTAGTATGCGGGGGGCAGGCCGTTCTCTCCTCCCTCTTTGTGGGGTGGGGGCCCCTGTTGATGGTAGTATGCGGGGGGCAGGCCGTTCTCTCCTCCCTCTTTGTGGGGTGGGGGCCCCTGTTGATGGTAGTATGCGGGGGGCAGGCCGTTCTCTCCTCCCTCTTTGTGGGGTGGGGGCCCCTGTTGATGGTAGTATGCGGGGGGGGGGCAGGCCGTTCTCTCCTCCCTCTTTGTGGGGTGGGGGCCCCTGTTGATGGTAGTATGCGGGGGGGCAGGCCGTTCTCTCCTCCCTCTTTGTGGGGTGGGGGCCCCTGTTGATGGTAGTATGCGGGGGGCAGGCCGTTCTCTCCTCCCTCTTTGTGGGGTGGGGGCCCCTGTTGATGGTAGTATGCGGGGGGCAGGCCGTTCTCTCCTCCCTCTTTGTGGGGTGGGGGCCCCTGTTGATGGTAGTATGCGTGGGGCAGGCCGTTCTCTCCTCCCTCTTTGTGGGGTGGGGGCCCCTGTTGATGGTAGTATGCGGGGGGCAGGCCGTTCTCTCCTCCCTCTTTGTGGGGTGGGGGCCCCTGTTGATGGTAGTATGCGGGGGGCAGGCCGTTCTCTCCTCCCTCTTTGTGGGGTGGGGGCCCCTGTTGATGGTAGTATGCGTGGGGCAGGCCGTTCTCTCCTCCCTCTTTGTGGGGTGGGGGCCCCTGTTGATGGTAGTATGCGGGGGGGCAGACCGTTCTCTCCTCCCTCTTTGTGGGGTGGGGGCCCCTGTTGATGGTAGTATGTGGGGGGGGCAGGCCGTTCTCTCCTCCCTCTTTGTGGGGTGGGGGCCCCTGTTGATGGTAGTATGCGTGGGGCAGGCCGTTCTCTCCTCCCTCTTTGTGGGGTGGGGGCCCCTGTTGATGGTAGTATGCGGGGGGGCAGGCCGTTCTCTCCTCCCTCTTTGTGGGGTGGGGGCCCCTGTTGATGGTAGTATGCGGGGGGGCAGGCCGTTCTCTCCTCCCTCTTTGTGGGGTGGGGGCCCCTGTTGATGGTAGTATGCGTGGGGCAGGCCGTTCTCTCCTCCCTCTTTGTGGGGTGGGGGCCCCTGTTGATGGTAGTATGCGGGGGGCAGGCCGTTCTCTCCTCCCTCTTTGTGGGGTGGGGGCCCCTGTTGATGGTAGTATGCGGGGGGGGCAGGCCGTTCTCTCCTCCTCTTTGTGGGGTGGGGGCCCCTGTTGATGGTAGTATGCGGGGGGCAGGCCGTTCTCTCCTCCCTCTTTGTGGGGTGGGGGCCCCTGTTGATGGTAGTATGCGGGGGGCAGGCCGTTCTCTCCTCCCTCTTTGTGGGGTGGGGGCCCCTGTTGATGGTAGTATGCGGGGGGCAGGCCGTTCTCTCCTCCCTCTTTGTGGGGTGGGGGCCCCTGTTGATGGTAGTATGCGGGGGGCAGGCCGTTCTCTCCTCCCTCTTTGTGGGGTGGGGGCCCCTGTTGATGGTAGTATGCGGGGGGGGCAGGCCGTTCTCTCCTCCCTCTTTGTGGGGTGGGGGCCCCTGTTGATGGTAGTATGCGGGGGGCAGGCCGTTCTCTCCTCCCTCTTTGTGGGGTGGGGGACCCCTGTTGATGCCAGTGAGGGGGGGCAGGTCGTTCTCTCATCGCTCTTTGTGGGGGGGGGGGCTGTTGATGGTAGTGTGGGGCAGGACCCCTGTTGATGGTAGTATGCGGGGGGCAGGCCGTTCTCTCCTCCCTCTTTGTGGGGGGACCCCTATCGATGGTAGTGTTGGGGGGGGCAGGCCCTTCTCTCCTCCCTCTTTGTGGGGGGGGGGGTATACGTCAACGCCTCCTACAAGCCTGGCATGACCAAGGAGGAGTGCTTCTCCTCCTCCCCCCGCAGCCATTTCTCTGGCCATGGACCGCGACGGCTCCAGCGGAGGGGTCATCCGCCTGGCCGCCATCACCGAGGACGGCGTGGAGCGCAAGGTCATCCTGGGCCACGAACTGCCCCGCTTCTCCACCCTCTGAAGGAAGGAAGCCCGGCCATCGCTGTTCCTGCTCTTGTGATTATTGTTGTTATTGTTGTGAATCACCCCAGTCCTTTGTTCCAGGGTCAACACAATATTAAATACATGGGAGTGGAAATGGAAGTGTTGTTGTGGTTGGGGTCCTGGGAGGAGGAGGAGGAGGGAGGCATTGTGGTAAATACAGAGGGACCCACTGAGTTATGAGGGACACACATTGTACCCCCCCCCCCAAATCATCCTAGTTTTAGGGCTTGGTAATAGGAGACTATCACACTACATCAGGCATGGGCCAACTTGAGCCCTCCCTCCAGGTGTTTTGGACTCCAACTCCTACCGGCTGTTAGGAATTTATTTATTTTATTTATCGTGTCAGTACAACCAGTCGATTATATTACATTTCTAACAGAACAATGCAAAAAAAAACCAGACAAAATACAAAAATTGTGAGTTTGGTAGTTGATTAAATGTCCTTTGCCCAGTATCTGGCCCCTTGGAGTGCCTCTGGTGTTGCCGTGAGAAGATCCTCCCTTGTGCATCATGTGGAAGGGCTCAGGTTGCATTGCAGCAGGTGGTCAGTGGTTTGCTCTTCTCCGCACTCACATGTCGTGGATTCCACTTTGTGGCCCCATTTCTTAAGGTTGGCTCTGCATCTCGTGGTGCCAGAGCGCAGTCTGTTCAGCGCCTTCCAAGTCGCCCAGTCTGTGTGCCCAGGGGGAGTCTCTCATTTGGTATCAGCCATTGATTGAGGTTCTGGGTTTGAGCCTGCCACTTTTGGACTCTCGCTTGCTGAGGTGTCTCTGTAGATCTTCCAGCAAGTGTCTCTGTAGATCTTAGAAAACTATTTCTTGATTTAAGTCGTTGGTGCTGGCTGATACCCAAACAAGGGATGAGCGGGAGATGTCTCTGCCTTGGCCCTTTGACTATTGGCTGCTACTTCCCGGTGGATGTTAGATGGTGCAATACCGGCTAAACAGTGTAATTTCTCCAGTGATGTAGGGCAGACACCCCGTGATAATGCGGCATGTCTCATTAAGAGCCACATCCACTGTTTTAGTGTGGTGAGATGTGTTCCACACTGGGCATGCGTACTCAGCAGCAGAATAGCAAAGCGCAAGGGCAGATAGCTTCACTGTGTCTGGTTGTGATCCCCAGGTTATGCCAGTCAGCTTTCGTATGATATTGTTTCTAGCACCCACTTTTTGCTTGATGTTCAGGCAGTGCTTCTTGTAGGTCAGAGCACGGTCCAGAGTGACTCCTCCCAGGTACTTGGGTGTGTTGCAATGCTCCCGTGGGATCCCTTCCCAGGTAATCATCCTCAGAGCTTGGAATGCTTCTCTGTTCTTAAGGTGAAAGGCGCATGTCTGTGTTTCAGATGGATTAGATGGTTTTAGATGGTACAGTACAATATAGTAATATATAATACTGATATTGTGCTATGCTAATATATATAAAATATACATACAATATTTACAATATTATAATGTAATACAATATAATACTAATAATTATACAATATTATAATTATATATTTTATATTATATGTAATATTACTGGTATTACAACAATATAATGGTATAGTACAATATAGTCATATATCATACTGATATTGTACTATGCTAATAATTTAATATATTGTATGTATATATATCTTGTAAGCCGCTCCAAGTCCCCTTGGGTGAGAAGGGTGGCATATAAATGTCGTAAAGAAATAAATATACACATATAATATTGATAATATAATGTAATACAATATACTAATAATACGATATTATAATTATATATTTTGTATTACTACTATTATATTGCATTACATTATATTATCAATATTGTATGTATATATATTATATACTTAGCATAGCACAATGTCAGCATTAAATATTACTATATTGTACTGTACCATTATATTGTAATATTATTAGTAATATTACATGTAATATAAAATATTATTATCAGTAGTATTTTACTGTATTACATTATAATTTTATAAATATTATATGTATATACAATATATATAAAACCAATTAATCCACCCTGAGTCCCTTTGGGGAGACAGAGTAGAAAATAAATAGAGTTTTATTATTGGGTTGTTGTAGGTTTTTTCGGGCTGTATGGCCATGTTCTAGAGGCATTCTCTCCTGACGTTTTGCCTGCATTTATGGCAAGCATCCTCAGAGGTCGTGAGCTTTATTATTTATTATCACTATCAACTATTGGGATTCCCTCTGCCTGTCTGTGACGTCAGAGAACCCCCTGGCCAATCTCTGCGGGGATCCTATCTGGCCCCTTTCTAAGCCAATCAGGAGGAGGCACGGGAAGTCTGAGTAGCTGTCAGAACTGTACAAAGCCAATTGTGTTTTTCTATGAAGTTAAGAGTTGGAAGAGACCTGGTAAACCAACCCCATTCTGCCGAGAAGCAGGAAAATTGCATTCAAAGCACCCCCGACAGATGGCCATCCAGCCTCTGCTTAAAAGCCTCCAAAGAAGGGGCCTCCACCACACTCTGGGGCAGAGAGTTCCACTGCTGAACGGCTCTCACAGTCAGGAAGTTCTTCTAATAATGCTTATACATTTTGAGCATCCTTTTGGCCAAACAGTTACCAGGGAGGCATTGCCGTACGCTTTCCACTTTTTGCTAAAGGACAGTGCAAGTGTGATTAGAGCAGGCATGGGAATTGTGGGAGTTGTAGTCCAAAACACCTGGAAGGAGGGCCAAAGTTGGCCCAGGCTTGCCCCACATTGTTAAATAGATGCTCTCTCTCTCTCTCTCTCTCTCTCTCTCTCATGTGCACACACCAGCAAGGGGTGGTGCCTTCTCCAAAGAGCGCAGGACCGTCGTGGCTGTTGTGGCTGCCTGTGGTTTGCTCAGCCCTCCCCTGCCAGACGTTTGCGGTGCGTGGGCGAGATACACTCCAGATACGCCCTGCAATCCAGAGAAATGAGAGATTTGCAAGCAGCACGTACGCCTTGCTCTTCCCCCACGTGTGGCGGGGAGGGGCCCTGCCTTCTGGGGAGCCCTCCCCCCCCCCCCCCCCCCGCCTCCGGCTCCTGGCAGAGAGCCAACCCCAAAGTGCCTCTCAGAGGCGCCGGCCTGCCTGCCGTGGCCCACCCAAAGGCTGCTGCTGCGTGGCAGCATGGGGCCACCACAGTCGGAGGGGGGGGAGCACCCCACTTCCAGGAGCCGGGGAGGGCGAGACAAGGGGGCAGCGAAAGGAAGGCGCACTCGTTGCACAGCTCCTGATACATGCGCTTTTATTGTTGCACGGCTGCCAGGGGACGGGGACCCAGGACGGAGGGTGCCTGCCTTGGGACTCCAGAGGAAACGCATGGATAGATAGAGTCCTAGAGTTGGAAGGGACCCCCAAAGGCCACCCAGGTGGAGGATGGGCTCCTAGAGTTGGAGGAGACCCCCAAAAGCCATCCAGACCAACCCTTCAGAGAGAGAGAGGTTCCTAGAGTTGGAAGAGAGCTCTCCAAAGGTCATCCAATCCAATACCCCCCCCCCCATAATAAATAATAGACTCCTAGAGTTTGAAGGGACCCCCAAAGGCCACCCAGGTGGAGGATGGGCTCCTAGAGTTGGAGGAGACCCCCAAAAGCCATCCAGACCAACCCTTCAGAGATAGAGAGGTTCCTAGAGTTGGAAGAGAGCTCTCCAAAGGTCATCCAATCCAATACCCCCCCCCCCATAATAAATAATAGACTCCTAGAGTTTGAAGGGACCCCCAAAGGCCACCCAGGTGGAGGATGGGCTCCTAGAGTTGGAAGAGACCCCCAAAAGCCATCCAGACCAACCCTTCAGAGATAGGTTCCTAGAGTTGAAAGAGAGCTCTCCAAAGGCCATCCAGTCTGACCCTAAAAGATGGATACATTCCTAGAGTTGGAAGAGACCCCAAAAGCCATCCAGACCAACCCTTTAAGACAGATGGGTGACAAGTTCCTAGAGTTGGAAGAGACCACCAAAAGCCATCCAGACCAACCCTTCAGAGATAGAGAAGTTCCTAGAGTTGGAAGAGACCTCCAAAGGCCATCCAGTCCGACCCTATAAGATGGATAGATTCCTAGAGTTGGAAGAGACCCCAAAAGCCATCCAGACCAACCCTTTAAGATAGATAGACAATAGATTCTTAGAGTTGGAAGAGACCCCGAGGGCCACCCAGTCCCAACCCTTTAAGACAGATGGGAGTCAGGTTCCTAGAGTTGGAAGGGACCCCCAAAAGCCATCCAGACCAACCCTTCAGAGATAGAGATTCCTAGAGTTGGAAGAGACTTCTCCAAAGGTCATCCAATCCAATACCCCAAGAAATAGATAAATAATAGATTCCTAGAGTTGGAAGGGACCCCACAAAGGCCATCCAGATGGATGATGGGTTCCTAGAGTTGGAGGAGACCCCCAAAAGCCATCCAGACCAGCCCTTCAGAGATAGAGATTCCTAGAGTTGGAAGAGACGTCTCCAAAGGTCAACAAATCCAGTCCCCCAAGAAATAAATAATAGATTCCTAGAGTTGGAAGGGATCCCCCAAAGGCCATCCAGTCCATCCCTATAAGAGATAGGTAGAGTCCTAGAATTGGAAGAGACTCTAAGGTCGATCCAATCAAAACTCCCAAGAAATAGATAAATGACTGACAGACAGACAGACTGACTGACTGACTGACTGATTGATTGATTGATTCCTAGAGCTGGAAGGGACCCCCAAAGGCCACCCAGTCCAACCCTATAAGACAGCCAGGCAGGATCCTAGAGTTGGAAGAGACCCCAAAAGCCATCCAGACCAACCCTTTAGAGAGAGAGAGAGAGAGAGAGAGGTTCCGAGAGTTGGAAGAGACCTCTCCAAAGGCCATCCAATCCAGTCCCCCAAGAAATAAATAATAGACAGACTGACTCCTAGAGTTGGAAGGGAACCCCGCCCCCCAAAGGCCATTCAGTCTGACCCTATAAGATAGATAGATAGATTCCTAAAATTGGAAGAGACTCCAAGGGCCATCCAATCAAAACTCCCAAGAAATAGATAAACGAAAGAAAGAAAGATAGAATCCTACAGTTGGAAGGGTCACCCAAAGGTCCTCCAGTCCAACCTAGAGAGATAGATAGAGATAGATAGAGAGAGAGAGAGAGAGAGAGAGAGAGAGATTCCTAGAATTGGAAGAGACCCTGAGGGCCATCCAATCAAAACTCCTAAGAAATAGATGATGGATGGATGGGCTAGCTAGCTAGCTAGCTAGCTAGCTAGATAGATAGATAGATAGATAGATAGATAGATAGATAGATAGATAGATAGATAGATAGATAGATAGATGAATCCTAGACATGGAAGAGACAAAGGCCATCAATGCCAACCATATAAGGCAGGCAGGCAGGCAGGCAGGCTCCTAGAGTTGGAAGAGACCCCAAGGGCCATCCAGTCTAACCCTTGAAACTAGGTAGACAATAGTTTCCTAGTGTTGGAAGAGACCCCAAAGGCCATCCAGACCAACCCTTCAGAGATAGAGATGCCTAGACTTGGAAGTGACTTCTCCAAAGGCCATCCAACCCAATCCCCCAAGAAATAGATAAATAGTAGATAGACTGACTCCTAAAATGCGAAGGGACCCCCAATTCTCTCAGATAGATAGATTCCTAGACCTTGGAGAGACCCCAAAGGCCATCCAGTCCAACCCTATAAGATAGACTGACTCCTAGAATTGGAAGGGACCCCCAACTCGATCATATAGATTCCTAGACCTTGGAGAGACCCCCAAGGACAATCCAGCCCAACCCCCTAAGAAAGAGATAAATGATAGATTCCTAGAGTTGGAAGGGACCCCAGAGGCCACATAGACCAGCCTCCTTTTGCATGGAGACACAAGTCAAGCCCTCCCAACAGATGTCCGTGCAACTTGTGCGTAGGCTCCTTTACACTTGCAGACACCCCCAAAGCGGCTTCCCCTTTTCCGTGCAGCTGGCTTGATACACAGTCTTAGAGCTGCAGAAGGGTCATGGAGGGGGTCCTGCTTCTTGGGGGAGCCCCCCACTCAGTCCAAGCCTTGTGGCCATCCTCTTCCTCGTCCTTCAGGCGGTGGAGTCTCTCTCGGAGTCCAGCTGGTGGCGGAAGGAGACGCGGGCCTTGCCACTGAAGTAGGCCCGTCCACCTTGCTGGTCCCAGGGGTCGCTGCTGGTGGAAGGCGTGGATCGGGTCCGGGGGCCTGGGGCTTCCTCGGGACCCTCTGAAGGGGACCCTAAAGGGAGGGAAGAAGAGAAGAAAAAGGGGGGTTCAGGAAGGGAGCTTTGAACGGGCACCCAGGACCTTAAGGGGCCCCCAAAGGCCATCCGGTCCAACCCCATTCCGCCATGCAAGAGGGAAAGAACACTGTGCAACACCATTGTGCAAAATTTCCTACTCCTAGTTTGTGTTTCCAGTTGAATTTACTTTGAAAGTCGTCATTCTACTCCAGAAACTTTGTTTTTGTGGCACAAACTACGTCAAATTGGATGAGAGATAACATTGCTGCTGATACTTCTAAAGCGGATTTCCAGGCTGCACACCATTCCCAACATTGGCATCTTGCAAAACCAAACCTAAAGCAAACACACCAAGCTAGCACGTAAATACCTGCGCACCTACCTGCGCTGACATGCTTACTCCAAACACACAACTATATGGAGACCACTGATAGCTTGTGTGATCACCCCGAAAAGAAAGAGGGGCAGGTGGTGCATGGGGCAGGGGTCCAGGGGGCAAAGGTGACCTCTGTTTACCTGGGCTGGGGGGCTCCTGGGGGCCGGCCTTGCTGTCCCGCCTCCACCTCCGGCTCCGAGGGAAACAGCTGGGAAACAGTTTGGACCCCATCCTTGCGGAAATTCCTATAGGGAGGGAAAAGGGAAAAGAAAATCAGCAGTTGAGAAACTTTTGCAGGAGGGAGGGGTTTGTCTGTCTGTCTGTCTGTCTGTCTGTCTGTCTGTGTGTCTCCTACCATGGGAGACCCCTTTGCTGGCATTCTGGGGCTGCTCCTTTTTAAGGTAGGTAGGTAGGTAGGTAGGTAGGTAGGTAAGTAGATAAATAGGTAGGTAGGTAGGTAGATAGGTAGGTAGGTAGATTGGTAGGTAGGTAGATAGGTAGACAGATAGGTAAATAGGTAGGTAGATTGATAGGTAGATGGGTAGGTAGGTGGGTAGGTAGGTAAATAGATAGGTACATAGGTAGGTAGATAGCTAGGTAGGTGAATAGATAGGTAGGTAGGTAGATAGCTAGATAGATAAATAGGTAGGTAGGTAGGTAGGTAGGTAGGTAGGTAGGTAGGTAGGTAGGTAGGTGGATGGATGGATGGATAGATAGTTTGATAGGAAGGTACATAGATATATAGGTAGGTAGGTAGGTAGGTAGGTAGGTAGGTAGGTAGAAAGGTAGGTAGGTAGATAGATAGATAGATAGATTGATAGGAAGGTAGATAGATATATAGATAGGTAGGTAGATAGGTAGGTAGACAGATAGATAGGTAGGTAGATTAGATAGATAGATAGATAGATAGATAGATAGATAGATAGATAGATAGATAGATAGATAGATAGGTAGGTAGGTAGATAGGAAGGTAGGTAGATAGATAAATAGGTAGGTAGATAGATAGATGGATAGAAAGGTAGATATATAGATACATAGGTAGATAGGTAAATAGGTAGGTAGGTAGGTAGGTAGAAAGATAGGTATATAGATAGATAAATAGGTAGATAAGTAGATAGGTAGATAGGAAGGTAGATAGATATAGGTAGGCAGGGAGATAGGGAGGTAGGTACGTAGGTAGATAGCTACGTAGGTAGATAGGTAAATAGGTAGGTAGGTAGGTAGGTAAATAGGTAGGTAGATAAATAACAATCACAACTAGAAGAAACAAAACACAACCATGACAGTAAGCAAGCCCACCCAACAGCACTCTCCCTCCTTCCCCTTCCGTTGCCCCTTGTTGTGATATACATACCCTATAATATAATATACTATAGGTATATGATATACATACCCTATAATAGCCCCCTGCCCTGAAATGATTCCCTTGGCAGCTTCCCCTCAAAACCTCCTTTTGCTTTCCTTCCAAAGTGTACAAAGGCCAGACTCTGTTTGTTTGCAAACTTTTAATTACCTTTTCCTACCAAGTCCACTAGAAAGCTTGACTATTTGTATATATATTCTAATAATCTTTCCAAGTGTTTTGGACTTCAACTCCCAGACATCATGGGAACTATGGACTGAAAAAGAAACACAACCTACCAACCCTCTCCAGGCCCATCCGGAAAAACCAACCAAGGCCAAGCCCAGCCAAACGTAAGAGGGGTCCTAATGCATTGCATGGAAAACTTGGACAACCACCACATCAGAATACACAGAGAAGCCACAGAAATGCACAAGAAGCCGGTGGACAACGTCAACAGAAAGGAGGAAACCAGGGAAAGGAACACAATCTCGATATCAATATTTATAAACACCGGAATCAAGGCGGTAAATAAGGAACGCCACTCAGAAACAGTCAACAATTAACCCCTCTCAAACAGAGGGTGCCTCCAGGCAGCAACAGCCAGGCTTTGCAGCTGCAAGGCTACTCGGTGCTAACTAAGCTTGTTAATAGCAACATTCACTTGCTTTTCAGAGATGAGGGTTTTTCCTCCCACCCTGGATATTATTCCACAGATATATATATATACACACACACACAGAGATAGATAGATAGATAGATATATATACACACACCTCTGATGATGCCCCCAGGCAGCAATAGTCAGGCATTGCAGCTGCAAGGCTACTTGGTGCTGACTAAGCTTGTTAATTGGAACATTCATTTGCTTTACAGAGACTAGGGTTCTTTCTCCCACTCTGTCTGGACATTATTCCACAGATAGATAAATATATATATATACACACACCTCTGAGGATGCTCCCAGGCAGCAACACCCAGGCTTTGCAGCTGCAAGGCTACTTGGTGCTCATTAAGCTTCCTAACTGCAACATTCTTTTGCTTTTCAAAGACAAGGATTCTTTCTCCCACTCTGGACATTATTCCAGAGATAGATACATATACACACATCTCTGAGGATGCTCCCAGGCAGCAACAGCCAGGCTTTGGAGCTGCAAGGCTGCTTAGTGCTAATTAAGCTTGTTAATTGGAGCGTTCACTTGCTTTACAGAGATGAGGGTTCTTTCTCCCATCCTGGATATTATTCCAGACATAGATAGATAGATAGATAGATAGATAGATAGATAGATAGATAGATAGATAGATAGATATACATGCACGCACACACACACCTCTGAGGATGCTCCCAAGCAGCAACAGCCAGGCTACCTGTATGCAGAGACCCTCCCTGATTGACTTAGCAAACTTCATGGCTACTCGAATGCAAATTCAAGCTTGCTCATGGCAACATTCACACTTGTTTTGCACAGACAAGGGTTCTTCCTCCCACCTCCCAACTCTGAGGAAGCCCCCAGGCAACAGCAGCCAGGCTGCCTCAATGCAAACGCCCTCCCTGATTGACTTTGCAAACTTATTGGCTACTCGAATGCTAGTTCGAGCTTGCTCATGGCAAGATTCACACTTGCTTCGCACAGACAAGGGTTCTTCCTCCCACCCTGGGCATTATTCCACAGGGATGGAGATATATATACACACACACACATATACATACACACAAACACTCCACTGGCCATATATATATATATACACATACACACACACACACACACACACACACACACATATAAATACATATACATATACATACACATTCCACTGGCCATATACACACACATTCCACTGGCCATATACACACACAAACACACACAAACACATATACACACACACACACATACATAAATGCATATACATATATACACACACTCCACTGGCCACATATATATACATACACACTCTACTGGCCATATACACACACAAACACACACATATACATATACATATACATATACATATACACACATTTCACTGGCCACACACACACACACACATATACATACACACACACTCCACTGGCCATATATATATATATATATATATACACGCACACACACACACACACACACACATTCTTGAAGTGACTGGACTGACCTTGAAGGAGCTGGGGGTGGTGACGGCCGACAGGGAGCTCTGGCGTGGGCTGGTCCATGAGGTCACGAAGAGTCGGAGACGACTGAACGAATGAACAACAACACACACACACATAAATGCATATACATATACATCCACACTCCACTGGCCATACACACACACACACAGACATATATATGTACACGTATACATATACATATACATGCACACACACTTCACTGGCTATATATATATATATATATATATATCACATACATATATGCATATACATATACACACACTCCACTGGCCAAATATACACACACACATATATAGATATACATATAGATACATACACACACACACTCCACTGGCCACACTTCCAACAGACCCTCTGGTGATGCCATGAGCCACAGATGTAGGTGAAACGTCAGGAGAGAGTGCTGCTGGAACATCTTGCCCACACAGCCTGGAAAACTCACCGCAACCCAACTTTGCAAAAGTTTTGTCCCTGTTTCTGGGGGGGGGGGGGGGGGGAGGGAGGAGGAGGAGGAAGACCCCCTCCCCAAAGAAAGTCTACTCCAAAGGTCTCTTAAAGAGCCACCCACCCAAAGCCAACCCCTCTCCCCTGACTTGCCTTGCCTTCGCCTCCCCAAAGAAGAACTGCCAGGGCCAGTGCCCCGCCCCTCAGGAAGGGAAAACTCCTCCAGCCACGCCCCCAAGCTCCCATTGGGCGCTCCGAGGGGCGAGGGAGGAAAGGGGCGGGGCCGTGGCTCCAAGGAGATCCCGCCCCCTTCTGCCAGGCTTCAGCAGGAAAAGCACATTCAAAGCCTTCCTGACAGATGGCCATCCAGTCTCATAATAATAATAATAATAATAATAATAATAATAATAATAATAATAATAATAATAATAATAATAATAATAGAGTTAGGAGAGACTCCTAATAATAATAATAATAATAATAGAGTTAGGAGAGAATCCTAATAATAATAATAATAATAATAATAATAATAGAGTTATAATAATAATAATAATAATAATAATAATAATAATAATAATAATAGAGTTAGGAGAGAATCCTAATAATAATAATAATAATAATAATAATAGAGTTATAATAATAATAATAATAATAATAATAGAGTTAGGAGAGAATCCTAATAATAATAAGAATAATAATAATAATAATAATAAAAAATAATAAATATAATAATATAATAGAGTAAAATAATAAGTTATAATAATAATAATAATAATAATAATAATAATAATAATAATAATAATAATAATAGAGTTAGGAGAGAATCCTAATAATAATAATAATAATAATAATAATAATAGAGTTATAATAATAATAATAATAATAATAATAATAATAATAATAATAATAGAGTTAGGAGAGACTCCTAATAATAATAATAATAATAATAATAATAATAATAATAATAATAATAATAATAATAATAATAATAGACTAGGTTCTTGTGTTTTTTTTCGGGCTATAGAGCCATGTTCTAGAGGCATTTCTCCTGACGTTTCGCCTGCATCTATGGCAAGCATCCTCAGAGGTTGAGAAGGTCTGTTGGAAGTAGGAAAAATGGTTTATATATCTGTGGAATGGCTGGGGTGGGGCAAGGAGCTCTTCCCTGCTGCAGTTAGGTGTGAATGTTTAGCTGATCACCTTCATTAGCATTTGAAGGCCTGCCTGAGCCTGGGAAAATCTGTTGCTGGGAGGTGTTAATCTGTGCCTGGTTTTTTATGTAGATATCTACATAAAAACTCCAACCATCACCCAAGTCAACAAAGAAGCCCCATGAAAGCCTTGGCAGACCGTGCAAAAAGAATCTGCGAAGCCCACCTCCTCCAAGATGAACTGAACCCCCTCAACTGGGCTCTACAGGCCAATGGAGACTCCACCTCAGACATCAGAAGAGCTGCAAGACCAAGAACAAGCCACGAGAGTAAAGATGAAGATCCACCCAGAGGAAAAGTGTTCCTGCCATACATCAATGGAACCACTGACCGCATAGGGAAGCTGATGAGGAAACACAACATACAAACAATCTACAAACCCACCAAGAAAATCCAACAAATGCTACGTTCAGCAAAGGACACGAGGGATCCTCTCACCTCTGCAGGAATCTACCATTGTATCCCATGCAGCTGTGGACAAGAAGTCTACATGGGGACCACCAAACACAGCGTTGCCCAGATTAACACCTCCCAGCAACAGATTTTCCCAGGCTCAGGCAGGCCTTCAAATGCTAATGAAGGTGATCAGCTAAACATTCACACCTAACTGCAGCAGGGAAGAGCTCCTTGCCCCACCCCAGCCATTCCACAGATATATAAGCCACTTTTTCCTACTTCCAACAGACCTTCTCAACCTCTGAGGATGCTTGCCATAGATGCAGGCGAAACGTCAGGAGAAATGCCTCTAGAACATGGCTATAGCCCCGAAAAAACCCACAAGAACTGAGTGATTCCAGCCATGAAAGCCTTCGACAATACAGAAAAAGAACAGTTCTCAGCCTTTGTAATAATAATAATAATAATAATAATAATAATAATAATAATAATAATAATAGTAATAATAATAATAACAATAATAATAATAATAATAATAATAATAATAATTATAATAATAATAATAATCAATAATAATAATAATAATAATAATATAAATAATAATAATAATAATAGTAATAATAATAATAATAGTTGAATAATAATATAATATAATAAATAATGTATAATAATAATATATAATCATAATAGAGTTATCATACAAATACTAATAATCGAGTTGAGGAGACGATTCCTAATCCTACTTCTCATAATAATAATAATAATCCATAATGAGTACTCATAATAATAATAGAGTAATAATAATAATAATAGAGTTAGGAGAGAATCCTAATAATAATAATAATAATAATAATAATAATAATATTAATAATAATAATAATAATAATATAATAATAATAATAATAATAATAATAATAATAGAGTTATAATAATAATAATAATAATAATAATAATAATAATAATAATAATAATAATAATAGAGTTAGGAGAGAATCCTAATAATAATAATAATAATAATAATAATAATAATAATAATAATAATAATAATATCTAAGAGTTAAGAGAGACCCCCCCCCCCCGGGCCATTAAATCCAACCCTCTTTAGACAGACAAAAAGAGCACAATCAAAGCACCCCCGGCAGATGGCCATCCAGCCTCCGTAACAACAACAACAATAATAGAATCATAGAGTTAGGGGAGATTCCTTGGGTCTCTCTCAGCTCTATTGTTGTTGTTGTTATTATTATTATTATTATTATTATTGCTACTACTACAGAAGCTGGATGGCCATCTGTCAGGAAGGCTTTGAATGTGCTCTTCCTACATAATGGCAGAAAGAAGAGGGTTGGGTGGCCTTTAGGTGTCTCTCCCAACTCTAGGGTTCTACTATATTATGGATAGCATTACTGTAATTATTGTTGTCATATATATATTGGAGGCTAGATGGCCATCTGTTGGTAAGGCTTTAAATGTGCTTTTCCTGCATAATGGCAGAAATAAGAGGGTTGGACTGGATGGCCTTTAGGGGACCCTCCCAACTCTGGGATTCTATTATTCTATTGTTATTATTGTTATTATTATTAATTTATCATTGTAATGTTATATTACATTATATTATTATCGATAATTACTATTTTATATTATTATTGTTGCTCTTCTTGTTATTATCTATTTATCATATTATTATTGATAATTACTATTATATATTATTATTTTATATTATTATTATTATTGTGGAGGGTGGGTGGCCATCTGTTGGTAAGGCTTTAAATGTGCTTTTCCTGCTTAATGGCAGAAATAAGAGGGTTGGACTGGATGACCTTTAGGGGACCCTCCCAACTCTGGGATTCTATTATTCTATTGTTATTATTATTAATCTATCATTATTATTTTATATTATATTATTATTGGTAATTACTATTTTATATTATTATTATTATTGCTGTTATTATTATTTATATATCATTATTTTATATTACATTATTAATATTGTTATTATTGTTATTGTTATTATTATTTATATATCATTATTGTTTGATATTATATTATTATTGATAATTACTATTATATATTATTGTTATGATTATTTTATTGCTGTTATTATGTATAAATCACTATATTATGTTATATTATATTATTAATAATACTATTATATATATATTTAAAATTTTTATGATTATTATTATTGGGGTTGGATGGCCATCTGTCGGTAAGGCTTTGCGTGTGCTTTCCCTGCATAATGGCAGAAAGGAGGGGGTTGGTCTAGATGGCCTTTGGGAGTCTCTCCCAGCTCTAGGATTCAATAATAATAATAATAATAATAATAATAATGTTTAAATATAATTATATTATATTATATTATTAATAATTACTATTTTATATTATTATTATTATTATTATTATTATTATTATTATTATTATTATTGTGGAGGCTGGGTGGCCATCTGTTGGTAAGGCTTTGCATGTGCATTTCCTGAATAATGGCAGAAAGGAGGGGGTTGGTCTAGATGGCCTGTAGGGGCCCCTCCCAACTATGGGATTCAATTATTATATTGTTATTATTATTATTTGTATGTCATTATTGTTTGATTTGATATTATTATTGATAATTACTATTATATATTATTATTATTTTATTGCTGTTATTATTATGTATATATCATATTATGTTATATAATATAATTAATAATAATTACTATTATATATATTTTACATTATTATTGTATTATTATTGATAATTACTATTATATATTATTATTATTTTATTACTATTATATATATATTTAAATTATTATTGTATTATTATTGATAATTACTATTATATATTATTATTATTATTGATAATTACTATTATATATTATTATGATTATTATTTTACTGCTGTTATTATGTATATATCATTATATTATGTTATGTTATATTATTAATAATAATTACTATTATATATTTTTAAAATTATGATTATTATTATTATGGGGGTTGGATGGCCATCTGTCGGTAAGGCTTTGCATGTGCTTTCCCTGCATAATGACAGAAAGGAGGGGGTTGGACTGGATGGCCTTTGGGAGTCCCTCCCAGCTCTAGGATTCTATAATAATAATAATAATAATAATAATAATAATAATAATAATAATGTTGGTTAAATATAATTATATTATATTATTAATAATTACTATTCTATATTATTATTATTATTATTATGATTATTATTATTATGGGGGTTGGGTGGCCATCTGTCGGTAAGGCTTTGCATGTGCTTTCCCTGCATAATGACAGAAAGGAGGGGGTTGGACTGGATGGCCTTTAGGGACCCCTCCCAGCTCTAGGATTCTATTATTATAATAATAATAATAATGTTGTTTAAATATCATTATATTATATTATATTATTAATAATTACTATTATATATTATTATTATTATTATTATTATTATTATTATTATTATTATTATGGGGGTTGGATGGCCATCTGTCGGTAAGGCTTTGCATGTGCTTTCCCTGCATAATGACAGAAAGGAGGGGGTTGGACTGGATGGCCTTTAGGGACCCCTCCCAGCTCTAGGATTCTATTATTATATTGTTATTATATTATTATTTATATGCCATTATT